GGAGGACATCGCGGAAGGAAAACAATGATCAATGGCCGCCGGCTTTCCGGAATCATGCGTATCGACTCCACAACTCAGTCTTTGCTCTTTTTTCCTTTTTAACATGCCGTGTTGTCTCACTTGTAATTCGGTCCTTGCCCTGGGGGAGGGCCACCCCATCCCTGCGGAGGTCCTGGCGGAGGCATCATAGGTCCCTGACCTTGCATGGAGCCGACGTCGGGTCGATTTCTGGATACCAGGTTAGAGTGCTGGTATGGCTCAAGGCACATATTTATGGCCGCCGTACCTCATATCTTGACGAAATCTGCAGATGGAGCATGCTAACTACACTCAGGATTAGTAGGCAAGCAAAAAGGCCTATGGTGTTTGAGACTGACATCCTGATGCCTCCGGCCCAGCGGAATGACGGGGACGAAGCAGAAGGTGAACCAGTCCCACGATTGAATAGGATGCGCCGACCAGTTTCCACAGTTGTGACACTGTGCAGTTACTCCTTCGTAGCCTTTCAACGGGCTTGTGAAGTCTAGAGACGGGAAAGACGATTAGCGGGCGCAGTCTGGGAGGATAGTCGGCCGAAGCTAGCTCACCTTTGGTACCGACGACGAAAAAGAAGGCCATGACTGTCGATGAGCAGTTGCGCGATTCAGTTGGATACAGTTCCACAACAATTAGGAGAAGAGAATAACTAAGGATGAAGCTTGCGGATGAGGGCGGCAGGGAACAACGATGTTTTTGTGCTCTGGTCAGTCTGGTGATTGATGAGGCGGTGCAGGCAAGCAGGGCGCATGACAAGACCATGACGCGCAATTCAACAGAAACGGAGCTTGCGCGACTCGGCTTGGCACTCGTTGCACTTGGTGCCTAGGCGGATGTTGTTCCAGGTCGGCCATCTTCTCCCCCACGCTCAATATCGACATTAGTTCTGCCTCGTATGGAGCTGTTAGCCCTGGTCAACCATTGTGCAGCCTCGACTCTACTAATATCGTAGTCGTCGCTCGACAGGTGAGAGAAAGGGCGCCTTCTGAAACAAAAACCTGCGTTTAATCGACGCATACCGGGTACAAAAGCCTTATTCACTCTACTTGAAGCCTCCTCTCCTCGACACTCCTCAACATCGTCCCGCTGATAGACTTTTAGCATGTCAAAATACTCACTTGCCTCGGACTCCCAGATCAAATTCTACACGGTGTCGTTAGCTTGTTGATAGATCCACCACAATACAGAGGCTGGCAGTTATTGCTGAGACTAGTCATTCATAAGGTTTACAGGAATCTACTCGTGGGATCCAATCACACGACTTCTCTTATAGGACAATTTAATGAAGCTATCCTTCATGTATTCTTCCTACGACAGAGACTTGCAGCCACAGGAGGTGGCCACCCTCTCAATTGCGTCCCTCCATGCGACAACGTATTCTGCCAACGTCATACAGAGACTCTCGGCTGAGAAAACTATATGCAGCACGCTTCAAGTTCTAGAGCCTACTTGCTACGCAAAGGTTGCCTGGTGGTTCTCATTACGCTCAGTATTCCCAGCCGCAGTGGGGGGCAGCTCTGTCGGTATTGCGAGCAGTAGAGGCTTCGGGACAGCTCCATGTAAACAATGCCGGGTTTTACTCGACCTGCAGCGATAATCTAATATTCAATAATATCCCTACCGCGATTCTCTCTACGGCTATGGCTTCTTAATGGGGAGCTCTCTTTCTGTCTAGAGCTGAACACGGTTTATGGATTCAGCATTTCGAAGTCCAGCTAGCTTCCATTTGGATGGCTTTGTGTGCATGTATCCTGGGCGACTTACAGTTGGTTGAGAGGTACACGCACGAACTGGCCCTACCCATTGAGACTTCTCCGGCTCAAGGCTATACGACCCCTTCGTTGACACGTAAATTAAAGCCTTGTTGGAAGTGGCAATAAGCCATGCGAAACTGTGCATTCTCGCTCGCCTGCTGGAACGGCATCCGAATACAATGTCCGAGACACAAAAAAAGGACCATATGCTTCTGAAAGGTACCATATTCTCTAGCAGCAATGAAGTACTGAACGCTCTCCCTGAATACACGCCTAATGTCCCCGACTTACTAACTACCGCCTTATCTCATTATCGGACTTTGCTACCCCGGTCTAGCAGTGGCTCAGAGACGATCCGTTTACTGACACGACACTTCGCTCCGCTTCCCACACGAGCACGTACTTAGCTGATTTTGTATTCGTGTGCGGTAGGCGACGTTACGCTTCTGAAAGATTTCTTGAGGACAGGGCCGCTCTTTGATGATCGAATCGACGACGCACGTGGCCGAATACCAACATATGTGCACTTCGACGTGCGTTGCGGCAATATTGACTCCTTTCGCTTCTTGGTCAATCATGGAGCCATTGCAGATCAACATCGACATTCATGGACAGTGGTGACGGAGTAGGCTCTGTCATACAACCAAATAGGATGCTATCGAGAACTATACCGGCGAATTCCTGGGCGCGATTGTGAATGGGATTCGCCTGGATCGGCACGCTTCTTCATTCAGCTCAGTTCGGCAGAAAATGCAGAAGGGCTCATGGCTGAGTTCATCCGCAAAGAACCTCTCATTTTGGAGCAAGTAGGGGATACATCTGATAGGTCACACCCAGCAGTGGCCCAGAGAGCGTTGCGGAATGCTCTGCAAAAAACTCAGGCCTAGGAATGTGAAGTTTCTCCTGGAGATGGGAGAGCGCCCATTCCCAATGGCAGCTCTGACAATCCCGGAGCAGTACAATCACGATCCGTTCGAGATTTAATGGCCTTATTTCAACACGAACCGAGAAGCATTTCCGACCGTTCAAAAGCTGCTAGAAGCTTTCAACTTGCCAAAGGTGAGGATGAAGGTGTGAACCTGGGATAGAATTCAGGAAATGTTCCAACGCTGAATGTGAGCAAGGTGTTGAACCATCCCCAGCCAAGGCCCAGGGGGGCTGGCACTTACTGGGCCACTTTGGCCATCACGAGGCACGGTGGGTGAGACGGGCCAAGACGGGCCGATCTCATCTTGGATTCTTGGCCATCTATTCTCCCCCACACATCACTCACATGTATCAATAATTCTGTGGAGCTGTTACCGCCGTCGCCGCGTATGCTACTCCACGCAGTTTTTGTGGCTGCGCTTCCTACCACCACCACCATTGAGACGGTGAGGCCACATGCCGTCAAGCTGGCCAACAAAGACCGCCCTTCTTTCTCATCCCACTTACTATCTTTCCTTCTTTCGTTCACTCCCTACTACCTGAGCCTCCGCAGCCGCCATGGCGATCAATCCCGCCACCAAACCACAGCACTTCATGGAGCTCACCCAAAATCCTCATCATCACCACCGCCCGCTCGCTCACAACATCTACCAGCCCATGCCCAACCCTCACCTCCTGCACGGCGAAGCCAAGAGCTCCGCCGCTTCCGCCGTCTTACAGAGCGACGAAGCCATGATCTCCCGTCACCGAACTGCCTCTACCTTTGACACCGAGAGCCAATCCCCAACCCACGCCTCCCCGTCCGATCCTCTCGACCTCACTCGCCGCCTCAAGTCCCGGTCAGAGCTCGACCACATCACTGCCAACACAGCCCGGAAACGAAATGCCTGTAATCCTCTACATTTGGCGGGGCAGTCCTCCCAGTCTAAGATCACAAACTTCTACGAGTCGCAGAATGAACAGATTCAGCGGCTTTTGAAGCCGGTAGATGAGCATGTCCGGGAAGCCAGAGACACACAAACATCCACACAGTTGCGCTTTCAGATCGCCGTGTACGGCTCGTTCCTGGCGAACATCATCCTCGCAGTGCTGCAAGTCTATGGTGCCGTTAGTTCGGGTTCGCTGTCACTGTTCACGACTATGGCGGACGCTATATTCGACCCCTTGTCCAATGTCACGCTCATCTTGTCCAACAAAGCCGTCAACAAGGTCGATGCACGCAAATTCCCCGCTGGGAGAGCACGCATAGAAACAGCGGGAAACATTGTGTTTTGTTTCCTAATGACCGCTGTCTCCTTTATCCTCATTGCTTTCTCTGTACAGGAACTCGTGCGGGGCTCAAATGAAGATACCAAAAGGTTCCATCTCCCATCGGTGGTCGCTGTGAGTGTTGCGTTTTGCACAAAACTTGGGCTCTTTCTGTATTGCTGGGCACTCAGGAATCAATACTCTCAAATCCGCATTCTCTGGGAAGACCACCGCAATGATCTGTTTATCAATGGCTTTGGTGTGTTGACATCTGTAGGCGGGAGTAAGTTGCGCTGGTGGATAGATCCCGCTGGTGCAATTGTTCTCTCGGTCCTGATTTCCGTTCTGTGGCTACATACCGCGTCCTCCGAATTCCAGCTCCTCATCGGCATCTCCGCCGATACTGAAACCCAACAACTTATCACCTACGTGTCCATGACGCACTCGGACCACATCAAGCATATCGATACCGTGAGAGCATGGCACAGTGGACCGAGACTGGTCGTGGAAGTGGATGTTGTCATGGATCCCGAGGAGTCACTGAGAGTGAGTCACGACATCGCCGAGGATCTGCAGATGAAGCTGGAGAGTCTGCCCAACGTGGAGAGGGCCTATGTCCATGTGGACTACGAGTTCGAGCACCGGCCGGAGCATTTCTTGAAAAAGGAGTTATAAAATGGTGAAACCCAAACCAGATGGGAGGTCGTGTACATCCGCTGCACTCTTTGGATGTTTTTTTTTCCCGGGAGGGTAAACTAAACGGCTCCAACCTAACAGCAGTCCGAGGCCCTTAGGAGCCTTGCTAGCTTGGACGCAATGAATGACATGACGTTGGCCAGCACATGTACGAGTAGGTTTTCGAGAGGGGGCGTCATCATTTTGTCGACTTTAAGACAGCCTAGCACCTGCAACCGGGAGATGTGCAAGGATCCCCAGATTCTCGTGCCCGCCGACTTGCCGACGACGAGGCAGAGGATGAAATGGCCTTTCGCCACGTAGAGGTATGTAGCTCCATTCTTTTTTCCTTTCGGGGATTCAGCTCGCACAGCCCCCACCTGCGACAAAGGGACTGGATGCCTCGACGATCTCGGCCCACAGGTCGATCCCGTCGGCGTCGTTCGTGGCAGGCAGCCACAAGAACTCAAGCAGGACGTCTTCCTTGAGCGCGGTCCAGGACTCGATCCGCAACTTCCGGAGGCAGCGATCGATCGTGCACACGAACCAGGACCTGGTGTCGTTGTTGGTCAGGCTCGACGAAGCAATGGCGGCGACAAAGGCGATCCACAACATGAGACGCGGCGCTTCGGCCCATGCTCTGGTGAAGTCGTGTCGCGACAGGGACTGCTTGATGCGGTTGGCCAGAAGCTCGAAGGGAGCTGCGGGGAGAGGGAAGATGCAGAGCAAGCCGTATGTGAGAGCGGCGAGCTGGCAGATGTACAGAACCTCATCCGCCCCGGGTTGGTGGCAAGAGTCGTTCAGTAGGTCTATTGGGGCCAGAGCTAGGATCCCGTGCATCACGAAACATCTCAGCTCTTCCAGCACCGCGAGACTCGGTGCCACGGATCGTGCAGCAAGATAGTCGTCCACGGCGAGAGTATATAAACTTAGTCCGCGCAAAGCCAGTTGGAGATCAGACGACTTTGGTGACGAGTCGAAAATGTCCAGGATGGAAAATCCTTGACCAAGTCTGTGGAGGGGATGATTCGCTTTCCAGACGCGCGACAGAAGGCTCTCGAAGTCCATATTCAAGCAGGGAGTGAAAGGAAGTCGGGGCCTCTGGACCATGCGGCTGGCGAAGATGAGGTCCGCACTACAAGTTGTAGCAAAGTCAGCTTTCCCTTTCATGCTTGTACCCGCGCAAGTCTGGGCAAAACTTACTAGCAAAGAAGTCCGCCCAGTCCAGGCAATGCGAAATTGTTAATCCCGCCACGAAGTTCAATCATCTTCAACAGCGCTTCCCGATGGGTCGAGGCAACCTCGATCGGGCCACCGTACAGATTGAGCAGGCGCACAGCGTTCAGGGGTCCCTGAGCCGGACGCCGGCCCCGGTCCGGCCGGGGTTGAGAGTCGAATGTCATAGAATGATAGGCAAGCGTGAAAACAGCAAGGATCGTGCCGTCACTGCAAGCCGTTGAGTGGTTGGACAGGGCTATATTGACATAGGATATAGTTTCGGAGTAGGCGTGAAGAAGTTGGCGCTGGGCCTTGGGGCATAAACAGTGCTGCTTGTGTTTGTTCCTCATGAGCTGCGAAAACATGTAGGCGTACAGAGTGCCTGCTTCAGACACGATCTTGCGGAGCCATGTCGCGGCAAGCTCGTTCCCTCCATCGGGCCTGTTCGCTGGCAGGGCTTGGTTGAAGGTATCGTACAGCTGACTGAGGAGAAGTCTGATCTCGTCTCCAGAGAACAAGGCTAATTGGGGGCATGGCACGGGTAAGGGGAGGACAATTGCATGAAGCGAGGTGGACCGAGACAGATGAGACAGATCGAGAACAACTTGTGGCTGTTTCCGGGCCAGGTCCGGGTCCCGCTGCTGTTGATTCCACAATACAGGTGGACGAAGCGGTACCAATGCGAGGTCAGGATCATCGAGATGGGACTGGGGCCTATCTTTGTTTTCCTGATTTGGAAATGGGGTGTGGAATGTGGTTGGCGAAGGTATTCGTATTCGTGCTGTAGGGGGGACAGTGCCGCGTGTACTACCAGCGACGGTTGATATAGCGCCTTTTCGCCAACGTAGCCGTGATGCATTTGCTCTAATCGCACTACGAGACTGGACTTTCTCGCTTTTGGTCTTGGGATACCCAATGATGAAAGTAGGCGCAGGCTTGAGCGATGTCCTGTTAGGCAATCCGGAGTCAGTCAGGAGGGAGCAGATTAAGGCGCATATCAAATGGTCCCAGTTCCGCTTGGGCTACGCCTCGTTGAGGCACTCCCCAGCTTGGCTCCATTCACAATACGTCGGATCGACAGGCGGAAGGAGGAGGCGAAGTGTGTCCGGTGGAAGGAATCACATACATTGGTCTCTGTGGCGCTGGGCCTTGTCCAATCTTGGGCTTGGTAATTGATGGTATCATCGGCAACCTTCGTTGTCCCAAAGCTTCGTCAACTTCCATGTGCTCTCAACGCAAGGCGATTGCGCGTTTTGGGCATTTGGATATCGACGTGTCTTTTGGTTAAAGCCTAAAAGTGAAGAGACCTTTCGGCTGCCGAACAAGCCTCTCAAGGCCACGACACACAGATGCAGTCAGATGACGGAAATTAAAAAAAAAAAAAAATAACTGCGTCTGACAAGGTTTAGGAGATCCCGTATTACGGACGCTATATTGACTCAATGCTCGTCTCTAGACTTCTTTGAAGAACACAAACGCTCCTGATGGAGAACCGGGGTGTGAGATCACGAAGCAACGTTTCCACTCCTGCTATATCGTTGCATCATGGTCTCACAACTGTAGATCACTCATCTCTGACTGAGAACCGAAATTCGAAGGTATTTAGGGAAAAACAAAAACAAAGACGGCTTACCTCGATAGAGTTGCAGTGGTCGGCGGAGGGACCTTCGTAACCCATTCTCGGTACGATCCAACACCGTCTGGATGTCCTCGAGCCTTGCTGGCATCGGTGAAAGGCTCTTCGATTCTTCTGCCTAGAAAAGGCACGAGGGAGCTAAGCGACAAACTAAAAAGCCTTTGCGGTTAGACCACCTGCGAAGCTGGGATTAGCCTAGTAGGCCGGAAATCTAGGTAGTATTAAGTGTGCATGGATATCAGTCAGCGGAGGAGAAGGCGGCACATAGGAGTGGACTGCGAACCAACCCGTTGAGACATGGGTAGAGACGGATTATTCAAGCGCCGTAAAAAGCAAGGGTTTCAAAGTTTAATCGGGTAGCTCGGAAAACAATGTACTGGTGCCAGTATGTCGAAAGCCTAAGTTAGCAATGTACACAACCAGGCAAGGACCTTGACCTGGATGACTGACTATCTTGGTAGCAATGTCACCACCTCCAACGCACATCTCATCGCATCGCATTATGCAACCAATACCCATCTGTGCGTAACCTCAGCCCCGTTCGTCACACCCTCAGCTAGAATTGCAGTCGTTCTTTTCATGGACATCGTAGATAGACCCAAAGCCCGCATGGGGCCAAGCAGTAAACGGAACCCCATCAAGAACACCAATTTCCCTGTTTTCGGTGGACAGTACAATGCGACCTCCCCATCTCGGCCAAAGTCTCTGGCGAACCCAAGTCGCAAAGGCAGTAAAGAAAATCCGAGTGCCAAAAATCTCCTGTCCTGGTCCAGGACTCCGCCAGCCAAGCCAGTGTAATCCAGAATGTCCACCCAGTCGTGAGAGCTCAGACCTTGAAGCCCGTGAGTAAAGCAGAATAACATATAAATGGTAATATACGGTACAACTGCGACAGCTCCTTACGTTGGACCCTCAACATTGACGAACGTGCGGACGAACTTATCTCTGCTGGAATTGCATGTTTTGCTGTTGCTGTTGCTGCTGCTGCTGCTGCTGCTGTTGCTGCTGCTGTTGTTGCTGTGCCACCATCATCTGCTGGGCATGTTGCATTTGCATCTGCTGCATATGTTGCGCTTGTTGTTGCTGCAGCACCGCGGCCATATTCGGATTGACCACTCCTTGCATGTTCTGCATATTCTGCATATTCATCATCCCATTCTGCATCCCCCCACCCTGTTGTGCCATCTGTTGCCGTACTTGCGCTTGTTGCATCTGCGCCATCTGGTTCATTGCAGCCTGACGCTTCTGGATCGCTGCTTGTGCAAATCTCTGAGCTTGCATTTGCACATGTTGCATTTCCTGTGGCTGGAGCATTTGCATGTTGCCACCATACTTTTGGGCGGCTTGTTGCGCCAACCGCTGTGTATAGCTCTGCAGAGTCTGCTGGAATAGCTGCTTGAGTTGAGGATCCACCTGGGCTCGTTGTTGAGGATGGGGTGCGCCTTGTCCCATCATTTGTCCTTGGGCTTGGGCTTGGGCTTGGGCTTGGGCTTGGGCTGCTTGCATCATTCGTTGCTGTTGTTGAGCGTGAGCTAGCTGAGCTGCTTGCTGCTGAGGAGTCATATGATTTGGCGCAGGCGATCCATGATTTTGCGCTTGCTGTAGGCTCTGCATTTGAGCCTTGACATGTTCGGCGACAGACTGGTTGTAGGCTTTCTGACTTTGATTGGGATTAGGCGACATGTGTACGCTTTGTGGAGTACCCTGTTGTTGTTGTTGCTGTTGTTGTTGCTGTTGCTGCATCGCTTGCTGCTGTTGCTGCTGCTGTTGGGCGGCTTGGCGAGCCATTGCAGCTTGACGATCCACCTGTGCGTGCTGTTGCGCCTGTATATGCGCCACTTGAGCAGGGGACATTTGAGGAGTTCCGTTGACCATTTGCTGTTGCATTGCTGCTTGCTGCGCCTGTGCGGCAGCCTGTTGCTGCATAGCATGGCGTCGTTGCATCTCGGCTAGTTGTTGAGGATTCATTTGTCTAGGAACACCGTTCGGCATCTGCGCTTGCATCCCGGGCATCATTCCAGCAGCTACCATTTGTGGCGTAGCTCCATGAGGGCTTCCATGAGTGACTGGTTGTGCCGGAGTATTCTGCCGCATGATTGGGGTGGCATTCCTTTGAGCGGGGGTACCGTGAGGTATCTGTGGAGTGCCGTTGCGACTCGGCCCTTGGGTACTAGGCGCTCGAGTCATGGGTGCACTAGGATGGCCATGCTGTACGGCTGAACTTGGTCTTGCTGGAGATCCGTGACCCTGCTGTGAGCCAGATACGGCCATTGGCACCCCGCCTTGGGCAGCACTCGTGACAACAGGCGACGAGGCTGCATGTGGGGTTCCTTGCCGGATAATGGGTGATCCTCGCTGTTGACTGGCCATGATCTGGTTCTGCATGTTCGGGGGTATGCCATTAACTTGTTGCGAGGGGGGCCTTTGAGGAGCTTGAGGGGTTTGCTGATGCTGCTGCTGTTGGGCCTGTTGCTGGGCTTGCTGGGCCTGCTGGGCCGCCATTGCCGCCATTTCTTGTTGACGCACTCGTAGCAATCGGGCCTCCTGCGCTCGTTGCATCATGATTCGCTTCTTCTCCTCTTCCTGAAGCCGTTCTTGCTGACCTCTCCTATTTTCATCTTCCTGAAGCTGCCGATCCTTCTCACGCTGCTTCCGCTCCGCAATGTCTCTCTTGATACTATCAAGAGCATTAAATTTCTCGAACCGCGGCTGGAAGAGCGCCGCCCCGGCTTGACCGTCCACGCCAGCTGCATTTGCAGCGCCATTCGTACCCGCAGTGCGCTCATCCATAATGAGCATAAATCGTTCTTGTTCCTTAGCATGCGCGTCATCAGCCGCCAGTTCAGCAACTGTCCTTTTCCGGCTCTTGGGTGATGGTGGTCGTCGATCGTGAAGGGGATCTTTCAGCAGGCCAATAAGGGTTTCCGCCTCCTCTAGACTCTCCACAGGTTCTAGATACAAAGGAGGTGCCGTCGCATTTACCACCCTCCCCTCATATTCGAGCATATCCTTGGGATCAATCCTCAGCTTTATCTTTTTGAAGGGCGGGCCTTTTTCGGTTGAAGGAGTTGGTGGGATGGCTGATATCGGAGTCTGCGGGGCGCCAGATCCGGGCGCACGGCTATTTACGTTTGCTTGTGATTGCTTCCGATTCAGAGACTTTGGATCTGGCGTCATTGCATCAATGACAAGATCCATGTGTCGGGACAGAATGGTGGGCCGCAATGCGACGTGGTAGACTTTCGGTTGGGGTTTTGATGATTTCGGTGCAACATCGATAGTATCGTCGGAGCTGGGATGAGCCCTGTTGTCGCTCGACACCTGCTCTTGTTTCATGGGAGGAGACTTTGCGACGGATTGTTCCTTCGCAGGGTATGGGACGTAGGGTGAAGGAGTGATGTACTGGTTATAGTTGTGGATAGAGAACGGTTTTTCGTCATCCGCACCGGCCCCAGAGGCGGCGGCATCCTTTGCGACGGACTTATGGTCGACCACCCGTACTATGAGCCACCCGTCGTAGTATTTGACCTCAGACTTCCGAAACTCTTCTACCATATCATGCGGAATGGTGCCTTTGGCCAGATGTTCAATGAAGACACGCATCTCAGAGTGGTAGCTGAAACTACCGTCCTGCTGGTCGAAACGGAAATGCGTAGGATGAAGGTGTACAATTAGAGAGGGCACGCATCCTTTGAACTTGCGGAGAATGTGGGACTCTTTGGGAACTAGAGAGCGGGCTTCGTTAGTGTCGCTTCTCCAACGACTGTACATTGTTAGAGCGTACCGTGAGGCTCCGGATATTTCCTAGAAGCTCGCTTATCCAGAGAGCCACCATCGGCCGTGTTGTTTCTCGTCGTCAGGCGCTGCACTCGTCGGTTGGGTCGAACGGCGCCATTTGTCGTCGGGCCGCTACCGGTAGTAGACGTTGGCGTCGGGTTCTGTCCAGGAAGGGTCTTGCGGGCACTGGAAGGCGATGAAGACGGTGCTGTGGGCTTGACGCCGTTCAAGTTCGTCTGGACTACAGGCGCAGGAGGCTTCTTCATCTTTGTCGCTGTCCCCACAGGTTTCGCCATGACCGCAGCCATGATGGGTGCTCCACCAGGCGCGCTCGAGGTATCACGGTCTCCCACGCACTGAGGTCGTTACACCGAAGGAGATGAAACCACCTCAAAAGCTCCTCGGCCGTGATGCGACGCAGTTGAGCAAACGCGCATCATGAGGGGCAGAGGTTGGTCGGAATCAACTTCGGAGAGGTCCTGGAGTTATGATGACTCAATATCTGCGATTCGGGGGCTCAAAAGGCCACAGAGGTCAAGGAAATAGGGTGTACAGGGTCAAATGGATGAAAGGATGTGTATGGGGGTCGCTGGTGATAGCCATTGCCATCATGGTCGAAGTCGCATTAAGGTCAGAATACAGTTGTCTTGGCATTCGCCTGCTCACGTGACCCGGCCATCCTTTTGCCCTTGAACACTGCCCGCTTTAAAAGATCCCAGTGTCCCGAAAGCAGCTTTCAACGTCCTTCTGCTATACTCTGCTGTCTGACAATCCATCGTCCTCATTCCATTGCGTCCCATGCAGCATTGGCTTCTTGGCTTTTCCGTGTACAGAAGCGAATAATTATTGTACGCCTTCGTTTAGGCTGCGAGCGGCTCCATGTGGCGAAAAGCGTGGGAAAACACTATCCCAGCGTCAAGCTATCGACGGGATACCTATATACATATCTCTCTCTGCGCAATACTCAAAGAACCCATATAGGACTTCTCACTCACATTTTTTTGCCATGACATGGGAGCAAGATTTCCCAATTGAAAGTTTGTATTCAACACTCTCATAATTGCCACGTCTCCGCCTAGCTGGGGGACGACACGGGTCGATCCTTTCAGACATCCTGAACGGCATCTGCGCCTAAGAGAGCTCATATAATTTGTCGACGAAAGTTTCTAAGGTCACGGCTGGGCCATTTATCTCAACAATTATGCCAAATCCAGGTGGATTGTATCGCGGTTGCAATGCCTGCCGCACTCGGAAGGTTAAAGTTAGTATGACTAGTTGGACCTCTAGATAACTCACCTGTCTCGATAGTGTGATCAAACATTTTCTTCGTGTCGGAGATGCCTTAAAGCTCGGGTGATCTGTCCAGGGGTGCTTGCAGCTGCGGATATCATGTTCCGTGATGAGACTTCAAAGGTTGTGCAGAAAGCCGCCCAAACAAAGGACTCCGCTCACAGTTTGCTTCCCTTGAACCTTAACCAGTGCCACTAGAAAAAAGCTGATGACCTCGAAATAAATAATCCATTCCCGGCCCTGGATATCTCGGACCCCTTCCATTCTTTTGGTGTCGATACACAGGTCTACGATTGGTCCGAAGAAATTTCGACTTTAGACGTTCTAATGGGCTCCTCTGGTCAAGTGAAACGCGTCCTGAAACCCACACCAATTCTCTCCCTTTCAAGTGAGCTGAAATTGTCGAATACGGAGATAATGACGCAATATTTCTTTGAGCAGCTTGTCATGTCTGAGACCTGGCTTTTGCTGCTGCCTCAACTGTACATACGTTCTCGTGAGAACAGTCCTTTGAAGCACTCAATTCGCGCGGCTTCACTGTTGTTATTGGGGAATCAATCCAGTGATTATGGCGTAATTGGCTCTGCCCGCAGATCTTACGGTCGGTGTTTGAAGATACTGAATCTTGCCCTCGACGACGATGCCGAGAAATTGAAGGACGAAACCTTCTGTACAGTTCTCGTCCTTCACTTGATTAGTGTCAGTTTGGTCTTTGCAGTGACAACAGAAACATCGGCTGAGTTTTTGCAAAGGGTATTGCAGGAGAGCGCTCTATGACCTCCGGGTCCCACCTGAAAGCTTGCAAATCCCTCCTTTTGCAGCGAGTCTCTCAACAGGATTCTGCTTCAGCCAACTGTAAGATCGCAAATTCTTTGGTTATCCAAGCGGTATGTTCAGACTCTCCAAACGGCTTTAGAAATTACTCACAAAGATTGCAGCAACTTTATGTCCTGAAATATTACAAGGAGTGGTCTGAGCTATGCGAAGAGCAAGTCTGTCGTTGTGCTTCGGCAAAGCCCGCTACAGAGATCTTACGCTCCTGCCTAGCGATTGGGAAACTACGAACCTCAGTTGTGAATCTATCCAACGTCCTTATCGGATCTGCCACTAATATCCAAATGTTGTGGCTTGACATTCTGCAAGGGGCAGAGGACATTGACCGACGATTCGAAGAATGGGAGAGAAGTCTGACTGGCTAGTAGATTCTAATGACTACAACCCACACTACCTCGAACGCGCTCGAAGTCACTGTAGACTTCTACAGCGACGTTCAGGTTGGCAAGGTATGGAATCAGTATCGATGCGCTCGTATCGTTCTCCATGAACTCATCTTTGAAATTGTGGAAAATCTGGTCTGCATCTGTACCTCTATCAGAGAGGGTGTGGTACCAAAGTCCAACGATCCGCCCAAACCATTAACGCCATGTTGTCGGCGATATGCAACAGCATACCTTTCCACATGCAACGGGTCGATTCAAAAGGCGAACTGGTACCACAAACTGTTCAAAGAGTATTAGGTGGAGAGCATCTTCTGTGGCCGCTAGATGTGGTCCTTCACAGCCGGTGGAGCAACAGTTCCCGACTAACTCAGGCGCGCAAAGCGCTTGAGGAGATCGGGACATCTCTGAGCCTCAAGCAGGCCTCGAAAGCAATCCAACGAAAGCAGGACTTGCCGATCGTTCTTGTGGAGCAAGACTTCCGCGCTCGCTTGCCAACTGTAAGTTGGCCGGCGTGAAATCTACACTGGAAACAAGATACGCGGCATAGTGGAAACCTATGATTGACACTACTTCATTTATGTGGGATGTCATCAAAAAAGCGCTTTACGACTTTTCGGTCCCGCAAACGTTGTTGAAGCTCACTACCAGTCCTCGTACTCGACGTGTTTAACACGTGTACTTAGAGCCTGGATATACACCCGAATATCTCTGCCGTCTTGCAGGAATATCTTTGGGTTCTGCTTAAACCCTACTCCCGCTGTTGTTCCAGTCAAAATAAGAGTACCTGGCTCCAATGTGGTGCCCTGAGACAGATAACAGATCAGTTCGGCCACACCAAAGACTATGTTGCTATTAATGTGTCAGTCAACTTTGTTCGGTCTAGGATCAGTCGACCTCTTGGATCCGTCACTCACCCTGTTTTGTCGGCTTGTACGATCTGGCCGTTGTATGTAGCCTGGATGTGCAGCTACTGAGGGTCTGGGATCACAGTTGAGGAAACAAGTACAGGGCCTTTTCCGTAAGATCAAAGTCAGCGGAGAAGAACGTGGATATCGTGCCTAGCAGCAGAGTGTGCCGTACATACCGATCGGGCAGGAGGAATCCAATCCTTTGGAGAAGGACCACTGTTGATCACTCATTTGCAGTCTCCGGGAAGAGACATTGTTCGACACCGTGTACCCCAGGACATGGTTCAACGCATCTTCTTTTGCGATATTTCGACCGCCTCGTCCAATGACGACGCAAAGCTCTGCCTCATAATCACCGGAGTTGTCTTGAGAGATTCTTGGAACGGAAAGGGGTGCCGGAAAAGGATCTGCCAGGGCGGTCCGAGGCTTTGTGAACATGCTAGGAGTGCTAGGCAATGTTACTTCGATTTCCTGCCAATGATGGAGTGAGCGCCTGAGAATGCATCTGCTTTCTGGAATGAAGTAGATGGGGCCAATGTCATCTGCGGCCGGGCATTTCGTACTTTGACATGGTGGCGGTAATTCATGCCGATGCAACGGATGTATGTGCATTCTTCCTTCACAACAGGGGCCAGGAGCTTCTTTACGGTGACGACCTCCTTGGTCACTCTGCTGTCGAATATGGTTCCTTCGATGCGGAATGCCTGAACAGTGACTCCATCAAAGGTGTAAAGGCCGATGTCCCGTGCGGTATCTACGAGTTGCCCTAGATGCACCTTGTCGTCCTCGACCGCGATAAATCGAATGAGATGAGTCCATGTAGACATGTTGGCGATTTTGATGTTGATTTCAAGTTTTGCGTGCTTTGAATCATGTCAGTACGATCCATGCTTGCCAGCAACAACAACAATTATATATCTATTGCTGGTGAAGTGCACAGAAACATGGCATATGTGCATCAAATCATCTCAAGGCATGAAAGACGCGCCCGGCTAAAAGTACCGCTTCCAGCAACACTGTTTCGTCGCATCGGGGTCTTGATCTCGCTAGTCTAGCTTTCTGGGATCATTCCAGCACGAGCCATTGATTCTCCAGAATCTGAATCAATTCTCTCGCTCTAACTGGCTATTCAGCACTCTGGAAGTCTGCACGCCGTCTCAAGGAGATATCAGATTGGCATTTAGGCTCATATTGGCGGACGTGTCCTCGGAAACCGTGTCAAGGGGCATGAGACTTCGTATTCTGTGCCCAAATATGTTTATGCGCCGGTTGCTTATTCAACCCTGCCATAACACCACGGTGTGGGAGTTGTCTTCGACAACGAGCTGGGTAATGTCTCTAAAGTAACAGGAAAGGGAAAAAAGGAATGGGGCTGAAAAGGGCAGAGTCCGGCGGATTACTAACAACCGCAGATGCAGGATCTGGAATCGTGCAACGAACTCTGCTCATCAAGCTTCGGGTTAAAGGTTCAGAGTTGATCACTGCACCAGGTGAGTTTCGGCTCTGTAGGTGGTCGTCATCTGTCGAGGTGTCCTTGTGTACCCATCTCAAAGAGGCCATGAGTGATTTCTATACGGGAGAACGATTGAAACCGGTGTATCTGCGTACAACGGCAGGGACGTCAGAGATGCATTTTCGCAAAGCACGATCTGGGCAGGCATTTTCATCGAGTGCGTCATCATCGTAGTCAACAATAGCGAGCTCCTCTTAGCGTAGCATGCAGCCCTGGCTCCTGTCGATTCCATTGCTTGTCTTTATGTTGCCTGATATCAACACGCGGCCAGCTAGAACAGGACTCGCGCAAATCTGTGTACGAGGAAGTCAGGTTGGTATTGTTGTGTCAGTAATAATTCACTAGCTTATGCCATTGTGGACGTTCGGCACCAGGTCTCCTTAGCGCGTGGCTGGCATTTTGACGGAATGTGGAAAATTTTCTGCTAAGGGCGTGCTTCCTCGGATGAGGTGTTGTCACTTCGAATGATGTTTGGCCATACAAAAGATGCTGCGCTAACAATAGGAATTGTCTACCCAGAGGCGGTAGACAAGCCTTTTAGTTGGCTTCAGTGCATAGAAAGTTTGTACCTTAGGGCTGCTGCCCCTGAAGCAGGTCCCACTTTGGCCCACCCAAAGAAAAGGGTTGCTCGTTGCGCTGCCGCCTCGGGCAAAATTCATCTTTCTGATCTCTTAAACCTAATTATTAGGTAACATCTCCTTGCCTCTCCTGATCCCGCTCCCAAGGCACAGGCATCAAAATGTCTCCCGATTTACGGTCCGGAGGCCGCAGAGCTCTATATCAAGTGATAAGTCTAGCCTACAGTTCACTACCATGCGCATTCAACTGTCCAGCAATTGCTATTCCAGGAATTCGGCCAAAAGTCAGAGAGCGCAGAATCATCGTCATAGGGGGATACTGTACGTCAAGTTTGCAACGTTCGCTCAAAGGTCATAAGGAGTCCTTTAAGGAAGTCAGACGTACCTCATGTTAGAACGCTCCCGTGAGCTCTCCCGCGCATATAATCTAGGAATTGGAATGTTATTTGCTGCCAGGACCCCAGACTCGAGGTCCGTCTTCAGACCTCCGTAGATGAAAGTGAGGGTCGTCTTCAATGGGAACCCATAAAATGGCGGAAAGGCAATTGTATTCGCCTAATTAGTCTTATTAGGCGACAGGATCGTTGTGGCTTTGCCGTCGAACTTCATGGTGTCCCATGGTTTGTCGTTACAGGCTGCGTTAAACTCCTGAATAATGTGCTCCAGCTTCCCAGGCTCTAGCCCAAGCTTTTGCGCCAGTTCAGCGATGGTCGGCGCCTCCTCCGGATCAAGATCTGTTGTTTGTGATAAACCGAGCCAGGGCGAAACTTATCAGAGACGAGCCTGTCGAAGATCAAGTACGCCTCATTGTTCTGGTCATGTCAGGTTTCTAGGGCGATCATTTCAAATGTTGCGAAGGGATGTCTTTTCCCTTCACCGTAAAACAGTTTGCAGTCGCCGTTCACAACTATGCCACAGCAGTGACCCCAGGTGACTGCGTCCGACTTGGAGGTACGAGCGTCAACAATCTCGCTATAGATGCCGTCAAATGCGCCAGATGTTGCCGCGACCGCTTCCATAGCCATGCGGAGGCCAGCGCCACGGTTGTGCATAAGGCCTGGTGCGATAAGAGGAAGTGCTTGTGTTCGAGGCCCTACGTACTTTGCCAACATTTCTTGGTTTCCTCCAAACCCGCCACAGGCAAGCATGACGTTTGACCCGAGAATATCGTGGAGACGGCCATCGGTTTTCCTGACTTTGACTCCAGTCACCTGGCCGGCGTCATTGGTGAGCAGCTTTTCAGCTTCCGTTTCCCACACGATGGTCAATCCATCGAGCTGTTTCATGTGGCTGAAGTAGTTTTGCACAATGGCCAACCCACCACCTTCTGGTGTGGCATAGAACTGATCAGTGTCATGTTCAAGCTGGACATTTTTCTCCTCTATTGTTCCACACGCAATCAGCCATTTACTGGTCCTTTCATGTAGTAGTAACTTGAATTGGTAAAAGCCGTGAAACTCACTGTGATGATTGATTGTCACCCCGTGCTCGAGGAGGTAAGCCATGGTCTTTGGAACCTCGACATACACCTTCGCACAATAGTCTCTGTCATGCAGACCTTTTGTCTCCTGACATAATGAGAGTGCTAGACTTCTGCCATAAAGTATCGAACTTCCAACCTCGCGGGCAGGCCCTTGTAAGTGGAGGATTTCAAGGTGCACAGAGACGAACAGAGTTGTAACCTATATGCTTCTTTTTTTGATCCTTGGTCTGTTCTAGGGCACGATTACCCCACTCACGACATCCTCTCGACGAGACTCTCCGCACACATGTTGGTACCAGGCGACCAAACCCCTTGTACTGAAGTCTCCCTTTAGTCACTTGCCGAAGGCGGGGGTCTTGTATGAACTGGTCCGTGCTCCCGTTGGGTCCTGGGTGCATCAACAGGTCGATCAACACATGTGGAAGAAGTAACAGCTCCATGAATCTTCAATCTTGGCCACTTGAACAGGCTAGGTTAACGAGCTTTAAGAAATGAACCTTTTCGTGCCACCTTCTGATTCGTAAGTTGGGAGGCAAATTTGTGCCATGATACTCACATTGCATGACAATTATAGCTGAACATTGTTTTACCAATGGACTCAAGATCTCTGACCTGTAGCTGATGGCCAGTATCAGAGCATAGTGACTTCCACTAGAGTATTATCCTTGTAACATCAGGTGATAGTCTTCTCGAAACTCCAAGCTGGTGACGACGAGAAAACAAAGAGATGCTGCATCCAAGGTGGTCCAGGTCGATGTATACAGAAATGGAAATTGATGCCTTACTCCACTGACAAATTAATTCTTGTGTCTAGTTTCTCGGAAGGTCACGACTGTCCCACTACCCCGCGAGAGCCATAGCGATTGAATTCGTCTTAGTTTTGAAAAGGTGTCTTGAGAATATTGGAGTCCTTATGGAGTCATTCACAGGCAGCCCTAGGACAGTGGCAATATCTATTGATTTTTGAAGGCCAACTCTGGACCCTACACTGATAGGAGAGCATATCTGACTCTTTACGGGATGTTCGAACTTCTAGCAAAGAGAGCATAAAGTTGCTGGAGTCCGGAAATGACACCAAAACTCCTCAAAATCTGGAAGCATCAAATACAAGATCGGTAAAATAGGGATTGCGGAGTCAATTGAGCAGCAGGACAAGCCGCGAAAGACTTGAGGGGGCCCAGAGGCATAGTGTCTACCCTCTTAAGCGTTGAGCTCGGAGGGCATCGATTGGAAGGATTACGCATGGTGCTATTCTCATTGCCACATCGAAAACAGCGTGATGCATGGGAAGTCGCTAGGGAAGAAGGCGACTTTTCATCACAGCTGCCGAACAACCGTCGAAACTCCGCTCAATTCTTTCGCCGTCGCAATATCTCAGCAGAAAATTCTTGAAGAATTGAAACAATAGTAACTTCGAGCGTTGACAGAAGGTTTATATCTTCAAAATGAGTTAGACTACCAAGAACGTCGAGAGCGTCATTCCCCTTCGGGCCGCACCTTTCACAGGCCCAAGCCCGTGCTCGCTTATAAGAGAATTGGTTAGGCAACCGAGACCCCGCACAAAACTCTTTCGATGATTTAGGCCACTGGAGTAACTGCAGCTGTTGTCAGCGCCATCAGGGCACGAATTCAATGTGTCGTGTTCAACAGATTTTGGCAGGATTAGCACTCTGATCGTTCAACCCGACGCTGCTTGGAGGGTTCCATAGCCCTCGTTTCTGCGGTCTGCTGTATTCTTCTCCAACCGCTGCTGAAAAACTGGAGAGGGTCATAGTATGGATACTTTGGAGTTCCCTTTAGGATATGGCCATCGACGGCAATTAGAAGGTCGATTACCTAGGTTTCCGAGGGTGCTGGATGGCCGAGAACCAAGCACCCGCCATCCTCCTTCAACGAGGCACAATCCTTCAACATGACAAAAATGACAAAGTTCGTGCGCTTGAAGACACCAATCTTCTGATATAAGGAGCAAACATCATCAAGATTGGGAAAGACTTAGTGGTTAGTCCATACACCGAAGTCATAAACTGCCTTGGTAAGGTGATCTCGCCAGGCTTCGTTGATACCCACCATCACGTTTGGCAAACGCAACTTAAAGGAAGACACAGTGACGACAATCTACTAGATTATACTGAAATTGGAATTGGCAGCCATACAACTGTACTGCATGTGACGTATTCTGGGGAGAGTTGGGAAGTCAAATGGAGGCTATTGATGGGGGCACTACATGCATTGTCGACCACGCTCACATGGCTTACTCGCTGGGTCACGGCCTCGCTGCCCTTGCTGCTACGCTCAGCTCAGGTATAGAATCAATCTTGTGCCTGAGCGTGACACCACGGCTTAAAAGATGGGATACTGAAAGCGTGGCCGATAGCGAGCTCTTACCTCCTTGGTTTTGCCCCTTTGCTGCGAGACCTCAGCAGCGAACCGAACTGCAGTTTAGAAGAGTGGCTATTGAGCTTAGGTTTGATTCATACACTTTGCCAGCGAGGACGTAAAACGAATTTTTGAAACCGCTCGGGATATTGGAGCCAAAATTATCACGTCCCACTTGCGAAGAAATAACATTGCAGGTAAGCAGACAGTTCCGGTCTACAAATACCTCATTACGGTATACTGACTCCATGGAGGCATGGGACTCTCTGCGCCTAAAGCGTTCCAACAGTATGGCCTTCTCAAGGCTGACATTATTCTGTCTCATGCCACCGGCTCTGCCGCGGAGGAACTCGACATATTGCGAAAATCGCGAGCATTCGTTGCCGCCATTCCGGGCACTGAATCTCAAATGGCTCACGGCGAGGTCATCGGGCTCAGAAAAGACGTACGAGGCTCTATAGGTGCCGATTGTAGGTTCAGACCACACATCCTTCCACCTGGTCTAGCTTCAACTCTGACGATGCTTTTGGTAGGCCAGTCCAATAACCCTTCGACCCTGCTTCATGCAATGCAGGTCGGTCTTGCGGTAACACGTTCACATCGCAACTCACGAATCCTGGCCACGGAAAGTTCCCCAAAGTTATCGAACCTACGACGGAACATGCTTTCAATTTAGCGACAATACTGGGGGCACGGGCTGCCGGCGTATCAGATAGAACCGGAAGTTTGGTAGAAGGGAAGGCGGCAGACATCATTGTGATTGACGGCAATACTCCTGCCATGTGTTGCGCCTTCGAGCATGATCCCCTGGTTACGGTAGTCAGACACGCTGGTGTGCAAGAAATAGACGTCGTCATCGTTGCAGGCAAAATCCTCAAAGAACAGGGCCGACTTGTCAATGTCGCCTTCGATGGCCCGGAGGCTTGGGACCACAGTGAAGAGGTTATGGCGATATTCAACAACAGAAGCATCCATTGGTCTGTGGTAGCGGGGCAGTTACGCAGCACAAGATTGGATATACAAAAGAGAATAGACGCTTGCGATATGGGGGTTGCGAAGGCGGAAATCCTCAAACTTTGGGGTTCAAAGGACGGCAGTAACATGCTAGTATAGAAGGGCCACCATTATATGATCTATAGAAAGAAACCAGGAGAGATGGAGGAGGACGGTTCATCCGCAAAAGGAACTCTCTGAAGACAGTCATACAGGCTTTGGGTCAATCTTTCAATACTTCCCTAGGTAGGAAACTAAAGCCGAGGTACCTCGTATGCTTATGCTGGTTAAGCATTTCGCCGTCTGAGTAACCAAATCTCTCCTGCAACTCTAAGCCAAGAAATCTGTCTCGTACTTGGCCATGGTTACCTGCTTCAGTATATATTTTATGTTATTTTCTGAAGAAGAGAGTACGCCATGATGCCGGGATATAGCCTGGCTATCTTCCTCCCTGGCTCAGTTAAGGGAAAGGGCATTGGCGACATCTAAGACTTGGGGGTATGACAAACTAAAATCTGTCACGTTAAGCTGCGACTTCGGCGGTACCCAGTCAGACCAAGCACGTCATTCGGCGGTGAAATTTTGTCGTCGTGCTGATATGTTATAACTTCAACTTCTACCTCAGTTAACAGAAATGTGGTCGATGCAGGTCTCTGCCACTTCTGGTCATCAACTACCCCCTGCTGTTAAACCGTACACATGGCTGAAATAGTACAGACTGTTAAGAAGCTCGCTCAAAACAATGTAGAGCCAGTGGCTCACCCTCAGCCGCGCAGTACCCAAAGTCCTTCAAGGCATTCAAGACTCGACGAAAGCGACTTTGTAACGGTCACAGAAGATCGTGAACTTAGGCGGGGTCTTCACCAGCGGCATGTATCCCTCATCGCGATCGCGGGAGCTATCGTAGGTTCGCCGCGTTCCCCCGTTGCCCCTGCATCTCAAGGCTGACCAATTTTCAAGGGAACTGGTCTGTTCCTGGGACTCGGAGGATCAATTCAGACTGCTGGTCCCCTAGGAGCCCTACTAGGCTATGCAACTATCGGCGTTGTTGTCTGCGCTGTACAGTTTGCACTTGGCGAGGTGACAGCTTTGTTGCCTGTAACTGGCTCTTTTGTCCGCCATGCAGAACTGTTGATCGATCCTGCCTTCGGCTTTGCTATAGGGTTTGTTCTCTTTCCACGTGTCAAGCAGTGTCAGTTTCTAACACATGATCAACAGGTACAATCTGGTCTACGGCAATTGTCTCTCTATCCCGGCTGAAATCACGGCAATTTGCGTTCTCTTTCAGTACTGGACCGACATCAACCCTTCAATATGGATCGTGCTATTCGTTGCTATGACAGTGGTCGTCGGCTTATCCTTCATTGGTATTTATGGTGAGGTCGAGTTCTGGTTTGCTCTGCTCAAGATCCTCTTCATTGTGTTCCTGATCATCCTCGGCCTGGTCATCGACCTGGGCGGTGTTTCAGGCACGCCTCGCACCGGCTTCAAGTACTGGAAGAATCCCGGACCATTCGTCGAGTACATAGCCACTGGTTCTTGGGGTAAGTTTCTTGGTTACTGGGCCGTCATGAGCAATGCTGTCTTCAGTTTCGCGGGGACTGAGAGCATCGCCATGGCCGCTGCCGAGACGCGACACCCTCGTGTGGCGATCCCCAAGGCCTGTAAGCGGGTCTTTATCCGTGTTTCGACATTCTACATCCTCGCCGTGCTCATAGTGGGCATGCTCGTACCAAGCAACGATCCCAGACTCGAAGACCAATCCGGCACCGCCGCACAGAGCCCATTTGTTATCGCAGCCAGCGCCGCGGGCCTCAAGGGCGTTCCGTCCCTTGTGAATGGCGTCGTGATTACCTCAGCGTGGTCCAGCTCAAATCAAGCTTTACTTTCTGGCACCCGCGTCCTGTACGGCCTTGCGCTGAAGAACCAGGCGCCTAAGATCTTCTTGCGCACTACACCATGGGGTGTTCCCTATGTTTCCGTGCTATTCTTTGCGGCTTTCATGTTCCTCGCTTTCATGAGCCTATCGGAGGGTGCGCTGACGGTGTTCTGGTGGCTCGTGGATTTGACAGCGTGCGGCGTGCTAATCTCGTGGATCACGGTCCTGCTAAATCATTTCCGGCTACTGCGGGCCATGAAGGCGCAAGGACTGGAGTTGAAGATGCTGCCTTGGCATTCAAGATGGACTGGTGCGTGTTGATGTACTCCCTTTTTTTTTTACATGCTATATGCTAATGACACGTTTCTGATAGAGTTTTCGACACCTGTGGCACTGTTCTTGTGCGTTGTGATCCTCCTCACAGCTGGATTCCCGGTCTTCACGAAAGGCAATTGGTCGACCAGCGGGTTCATCTCATCGTATTTGTCAGTATACCAACTTCTGCAATCAACTACCAAAGTACTAATGTTATTATCAAAGAGACATACCTCTTGTACTCACAGCATATTTTATATGGAAGATATATAAGAGGACTACGATTGTGAAGCTTTCAGAGATCCCTCTTGAAGAGGCTCTTGAACGGGCTGCCGAAGATATAGAGCCAGAAACTAAATTGCCAAAATGGAGGCAGGTGATAGGGTTCCTTTGGGACTGATGGTGTCCTTGCTGTTGAAAAAGGATTAGACTGAAATCACATCATTGATACCTACATAAGTCCACAACATATCGAACCACAAACAGCGGAGAAAGACCGCCATCACTTCGAAAGTGGGAAGGTCAAATGGGCTTCGCGGCAAGAGACTTTTGGCTGGCAGGGCGATGGCTGTCCTTCCAGATGTCGGACAAGGTCCGTATTTCGGGCAGGCGGGGCGGTTCAGACTATTCCAACCAGAAAAGGGGCTGAGTGCCCCAGAGCGCTATCTAAAGGAGATTGAAAGAGTGACTGGGGTTTTGGAGGCCCACTTGGCCCAGCGGAATCGGGAGAGGACCCAGGGTGGCGGGGATGGACCATGGCTTCTCAGTAAAAGGCTGTATTATGCGAACATTGCCTTTGCTCCCTGACAGTTGCCAGGTTTTCGGCCAGGATGAGTACGACCAGAGCAGGTTCCCGCTGGTAGACGAGTGGTTTCGCAAGACTCCCTCCGGACCTGCAGTCCAGAAGGTGTGAGAAGACTTTGAGACCAAGAAGGAAGGGAATGGACACAATTCGTTGCAGTAGCTGTTTGTGTGGTTTCGGTTCTGGCATTCTTCTACACTCTTGGCCAGGAGGAACATCCCGGTAAAACTCATCAATGTCCCTCGAACCCCGATTCTCGCTGATTCCCTGGCACTATGTCGACGGCCCTGAGCCATTCTTTGCCTAGGTCGATACCTCAACAACACAACACGCACAAAGGACCGATCAATTAGCCCAGGATTTGGCCCCAAAGCACATCACGGGTTATTGAATCCGTTCGGAGTAAGCAAATTAGCGCTTGAGTTCTTGCCTTTCATTGGGAATGGCGACACGCCTGGAACATTGATGTTGACAGTTTGGATAAAGTTGATAAAGTACTTCTGTACTTGTCGCGCCAAAGGGGCGAAAAAGAATTGAGTTGTTCGTAGAAGTCTGGCTGCCCCATGACACGTACACTTGGTCAGATCCAGGAGGAGAGGGATCAACTTCGAACCTGTAGTGTACATCTGGCCTTTGTAGGACCTTCTTAAGAAGTCGGCATTGCAACTGACGGCCAGTATCTCATAGATCATAAAAAGAGATACGCCATGGGGGATCGAGATAGTGATAGGCACAATTGTACGCTGGATGATAGAGCACATTTTGAATGTAATTGGCAATTTCTTCGACGATAGCACGGTAAACAGTCTGTAGCCGGGGTTTGATATCTTCATTCTGCAGAGAAGCTGAGACGAAAAAAAGGTCTTCAATCTGGGTATGTCTATAGGATACGCCGGCGTTTTGGGAGAAGTGCCCGGAAAGGGAGTGCTGGGCTCGGTAGCTGCACATGAAGCCGCCATCAGGGATGGAGTTGTACTGGGAGAAACCCGTAGTCAGAGAGTAGCACCTGTCGTGCATTTGCCAAGATGATATCCTGGGCAGAGACTTTCCGTGCTCCTTCGAAGGTTGTGGCGTTCAATAAAGAGAGAAAACTTTTGGTTATGTCCTCGACTGCCCGAGTTGAATAAGACTGAATTTCCTGATCACCGGTGTCCTAGTAACTCGCCAATGTCGAACCTGTTATGATCCAACGAGCAATGGCAGGCGCCGTGTATCAGCGTCAAGCAAGGTCTTTGAACGCCCAGGTATCTCGTGTTTCCAGGCCACCACGGCATGGCTATATTCGACAATAAGTAGTTCTCTGATTACTGCCGTATAAAAACAGTTCTCTTCATTCATCAATTTCAGTGCTTGTTTCCCCGTGGCCCAGTTTGTTGTTCGCAACTGAAGCTGAAAAAATGAGCGAACAGAATAGTGGTCTTGGAGCAACCCGATCGACAGTACATCGAACATAGCACTGCTGCCTGAGACAGTCGAGCGTGGGCCTCCATGGGGATACCTGAAGAAGCTGACGCCTCTCCCCAAGATGAGTGACACGCCTGTGCGACAAGAGTTTTGCTTGCTCGCCGGGCTGGGTACCAGCAAGCCGGTCTCAACGGTTTTCGACGACAGCTACGACACGGTTAAGTTAAAGCCAATGAATAGAGAGCAATGGTTCCGCCAGAACGCCACGGGTGCGATCCAGAGGCTGAGAAGATTAAGGAAGGTGGGTGAGCGTGGAAGGAGAGACTGTGCGGGCTCTTTTAAGAGGTTATGAACTCCGGGGTAAGCAATGCTGGGAAGATTGACATTATGGAAGTGCAGGCCTCCATGGTGCCTGTGGTGAATCGTATTATAGCTAAATGCGTTGCATACAACACCCCAGTGAGAGAATGAAAGGACAAAGGACAAAGGATAAAGGGGCCACAGCCTCACTAGCCCCGTCGGCGCAAACGGCCGGCGGCCTCCCGTCGGCGCAATAAATGAAGCAGATAAGCGACGCCCGCCAATGGCATGAATGCCCTTAGCGTGCATGGGCGGTACCAAGGGAACTCTCTGGAGATGCCCGGTGGAATTGATTTCGATAATACACATGTCACCCTTGCAGAATACCAAGTCCGCTCGGGTTTCGAAACGAATGAGACGACAATTTCAACTCTTACCATCAGCCTGCATCACCAATTATACACCAATTTTAGTCGGTCGTTACGATTTTTTCTTTCTTCTCAGAGCAGCGTTTGTATGGCAGCGGCAGACCAGAAAGCTCGCTAAGTCATTTCAACAACATAGCTTTCCCCCCTTTTCGTTGAGGGCTGCTGCTTCGGGCATGGCCGCTGTCGATATCTTGAAGTTTCCCATATTGTCCCCGGCAGATACGACGCCTCTAGACAGGCTGAAAGAAGCTGGGTACGAGGCATCGCAGATCCTGGCCGTGGTCGGCAAGACCGAAGGTACGACAGTTTTGCTTTTCCGCCTCTACTCCCGTGATAGAGGTGCACGACTACTACGTTTACAAGACCAAGAGGCTGAACGAAAGATTATTTTTCTTAGGGAACGGCTGTGTTAATGACTTTTCTCGAACCTTGGCTTCGGCCGTCTGGGAGCCACGGATCCCACAGGATGCCGTGACCATCTTCTCTGGCGGCACCGAGGGCGTGCTCAGTCCCCATGTCACTTTCTTTATTCGCGCACAGCCAGGCGTGACCACGGGGCTGGTCGCTGCCATCGGACGCACACGCGTCCTGGCACCGCACGAGGTTGGCACGTCGGCGCACTCGCGCCAGGTCGCGCAGACCGTGTCGCACATGATGCAGCAGGCATCGGTCACGCCGGCCCAGGTTCACTTAGTCCTAGTCAAGTGTCCGCTGTTGACCTCGGCGAAGATCGAGGCCATCCGCGCCGAATCGCGCACCCCAGTCACCACCGACACCTACGAGTCAATGGCAAAGTCTCGATACGCCAGCGCGGTGGGCATTGCGTTGGCGCTGGAAGAGCTGTCCCACGATATGCTCGAAGAAGCATCAGCCTCGCAGAATGTCTGGAGCGCCAAGGCAAGCTGCAGCAGCGGCGCCGAGCTAGAAGACTGTCATGTGCTCGTCCTGGCGACGGACCCGGCCGTCGCGGTGGAAGCGGGACAGCAGCAACGAGGTCATCTGCACGCCGTGTCGCGGTATATGGCCGACGCCATCGACGCTTCGGCCGTGTGTCATCTTCTCGCGCATGTGAAAGGCGCGAACGGCAAGGTCGTCCAGGTGTTCGCAAAGGCAGAGGCAGACCCTAGCGGCCGTGTCCGGTCGTGGCGGCACACCATGAACACTGATAGTGACATCCACAGCACCCGACACGCGAGGGCCGCAGTGGGTGGCTTGATTGCCGGACTCGTGTCTGACTGCGAGATCTACGTCAGCGGAGGTGCAGAAGGGCAGGGGCCGTCTGGGGGTGGTAGCCTCTGCATGGTATATAAGGCTTAGTAGCTATGAACGTGTCCACACGTACGCACATGTTCTCGAACGCCAGGAGTTTTTTTTTTTTTTTCTGCGCTCAGCGAGGCCGCTACCCTTCCCGGAAGACCAATGGGTCCGACCAGCTTTTCAAGCTCGCTCGCCTTTCGTCACATATACCAACCCAGCCCAGCCTTGTTCTATCCCTCCCCAGGTATGTCGTTCCACGTTCATATCCCATCTCTCGTTCTTCCTGTACAGCTGCCAGACTTATTGGGAGCCTCTCTCACGAATCCTGACCACTAGCGGATCCCGAATCCTGGCGAAGAAGAAACTCCTTGAGACGGGGATCTCGGGCAGAGGCACATTCTTTTCGTTCCCGCCAAAGCCGCCGCTCGTGGTGGTCACCAATTCTACATCGAAATATAGCAGTAACGTTCCGACCAGTTTGACCAGCTGTATACATAAAAAAAGCCATCATTTCGTAAGCAAGCTGCGAAGGGAATGTGGAATAGGCTGGAGATTTGGGGGGGGGGTGGGGGAGGGGTCATCACTCACCTCCATCATGGCAACGTTCTTGCCGATGCACTGCCTCGACCCGTGACCGAAGGGCATCCAGTACCGCTGCATCTCCTCGGGGCTGATCCCGCCTGACCCGTCGATCCAACGGTCGGGGTTGAACATGTGGGCGTCTGGGCCAAAAGTTTCCGGGTCCAAATGGACCGGCAGGGCGGACATGCCGACGATCGTCTGTTCCCCAAAGTAAGGCATGGTTCTCTTGTACTAACTAACCACTAGGAGTCGGGGAGCAAACCTTGGCGGGGAAAAATGTCCCGGCAACGACGCGGCCGCCCTCTGGCACGTACCGCGGAAGGTTGATCGTGGCAGGAGGCGTCAGGCGAAGGCTCTCTTTGATCACTGCTTGCAAGTAGGGCAGTTTGCCAAAATCGGCATATGTCGGAGGAGTCTCGTCCGTCAGGTAATTGCGCTCACGAAACGCGGTCCGTAATTCCTTGGTCAGAGCTTCGTAGACCGCAGGATGGCCTAGGATGTGATAGAACGTATAGCTCAGGGCCGACGACGTGGAGTCGCTGCCTGCGACACTGAATGAATTTTTAGCTTGGGCTGAGTAGAAACGCGAGGCGGCCTAACTTACATACTCGAGAAAGCCTCAGTCCTCAAATCGATAGAGTCCAACATCTGGCCAGTGACTGGATCCTTGGCCTCGATGAGTCTCCCTAACAGATCTTTCCGGTCGCTGACTTTCTCTTGCCTTCGCTCGACACGAGACCTCGTAAGCTAGAGAGACCTGGTTAGCCAGATAGATACCTTCGCTAGGAAGTGCCCCTAACCTCTTTCAGCCTTTCACGCCCCGCTTGCAGACTCTGGAGCCACGGGATCGGGAGCCAGGTCCATTTCGTATACGGGATCAGGGATGGCATCATTCCAATCGTAGATCCAAACTCCATCTGATTGTTGATAAGACGAATATGCTCGTCCTCCACTCCTGTCTCGAGCATCCCAAATCCCTCGCTGAAAGCCTGGAACCGGGAACGATCAGTATTCGCCCTCGTAGAAAATGGATCGCCAACACATACCAATTCTCCAATCACATCGAAGGCAAAGAAATGACACCATTTTCCCAGGTTAATCTCAGCTCCTGAGGCTGCGAATCCTGACATCTTGGCCATGAAGATTTGAAGGCGCTCCTGGACAAACTTCTCCATAGACTGAAGTGCGTTCATAGAGTACCCGTGAGACACGATCCTTTTACGCTGAGCATGCAAATACGGATCTCTTTGGCCAAATATGGTCGGTCGGAAGGCGGTGAAAGCACTTTGAATTATCTTAGTTTAGAAGTGTATTGGATATTCATAAAACTCACTCGTAGTAGGTTGTCTGCAGCAGTTAGGCAAATGATACCTTTTTCGAGTTCCGCACCGGGACTCACCTTTAGAAAATCCCTTCCCTGAACGGTATTGTAAATCTCCCGAATAGCCGACCTGTCAGATATGATCACCTCGTTCGGGGCGATACGGACGATGGGTCCATATTTTTGATGGAGAGCCAGAATCGTTTCATGAAAGTTGCCATTGTTGAACGACAGCAACTTCCAGAATGGGCTTAAGGACGCCCAAAATGGTCCATTGATCTTCGCCAGTGGTGAGAACCATCGCTGGTAGATGGTGAACGAAAAGATGCATATGAAAACACCGGCCACTGGAATCACCCATGACAGTTGACACGCAAAATCAACGGCTTGGACAGCCACGGAAGCTGCTTTTCCACGCATTTTGGAGTCTCCGTCCCGTGTATACTTCGCCATTGCTTCTTTTAGTGGTTGATACGCTTTTAATATGCCGAGACTCTTGCGATGGTGGCAGTCGTCCCCTCTCCTAGTCGTGTCGGCTCCCAGCCGCGGATCTCTCGGGTCCATGCCGATCGGCTTCTTACAGGTTGGAGGCGCCGGCTAGTCGTTTGCCATCTCCAAAACCGTGGCAACCCACCCCAACATATTGGAGTCTCCGCATGAACAGCGTGTTTCGTAGCGTGGCAGGGGTCGAGCTGCATCACTTATTGCTTCATAGAGCTTCAAAACCCGACCAATCAGCGGAGAGCAGGTCTCTCGGGAGACCCGTCCCAAAGAGCAAGTCGTCGAAGTCGAAAAGGTCCGAGCTGAGATTCAACTGAGCTTCGTCTTGTGGTCGTTGCCAAGGAGTTCTGTCTGCCGACAACAATGCCGGATCTGAATTATCCGATTGATGTTGAGTCGTGTAGCCTTGATCGGACACTTGGACTGGAAGAGGTGTCTCGCGGCCACTCGTTTGAGTTTGAATGCGCTCAAGGAGAATCAGGTATCTGGCCGCAAGTGTACTCGTACCACTGGCCGCCTTCAAGAATTCCATGCCCAGTTCCAGTGTTTCGTCCGTTCTGATTTGCCCTAGAGCTTGCAGCTTCCATCTTTCCATGGTTTGTAGCGTCAAGAGGACTCCAATCGCAGTAAAAACGTCTTTGCGATATTAGCTGAGGATTAGCACGTCTAGATTGAGACTTACAGTGAAGATTATACCAGAGAGAATTCAGCAGCCGCCTACGATATTGAGCATAGATCAGCTTGATAGTCTCGCGGGCAGCCAAGATACAACGGTTGCATGAAGCAATTGCAACGTCTCTGTGGAAACTGTCCTCGATCTCTTGTCGACTGAAGATAAGAAATGATTGGCGATGTAGCAGTAGACGAACATTCAAAAACCTGCAATTGCGTTAGTTTGTCGCCATCGGTGCCCGTATAAGGCTTGCTTACCGAATGTACATGACATTACGTTGTCGCTGGAAA